CGCTTTGCAAACATGATTTCATTATGGGCACCGCCATTTAAGCGTACCAAAAATTGCTACAGAGTGATTTCATTGGTCAGGGTAAATCTGGCGTCACTTAATAAATATTCAATGATTCAGTCGCGAGAACGAGAGAATTTGGTAGGAGGCAGCCACGGGTTTGTGGAAATAGAATGGACACAAAACCCGTGGCTTGCGACGATGATCTTGTTTCGGTAGATATTTTTTGTCTTTAATCGTGCTATTTAAACGGAAGACCTTAAATAATGTCTGTAGCTGTCACTATTTCGGTGTTTTTCAGAAACTTGATCGTAGAATTAGTCAAAGTCCACAACTGGACAATAAACTGATAAATCGGCTACAGTATATTATCTGTTCACAGAAACGACATATTGAAACTTGAAAAAAATAATCCAGAAGCAATTCATTTCATTGAAATTCTATCATGAATATTTTGTTTTAATCGATGGACTCGATAAATCAATAAACTGGCCGAAGGAAAAACGTTGCACGTGCCGTAACATTCTGTACGTTTTTTTTTTATTTTACATTCTACTTGCATAATATATGCACATGTACATGTACATATATATTAAACAGAAACATAAATACCAAGCCCGTCGGCATTTAAAAAAAAGTAACAAAACATAATTTGATTTGATCTATTTTATTTCATTTAAACTCTATTAATTTGTTTTAAAAGTATGATTGATCTTTCTCCTTTTAATATACACTCAGGGTAAAAAAAAGTATATATTGACTCGCGTAACTTTCATGGTTGTAGTTACATTTGAAAATGAAGAAATAATGAAATAATGAAACGTTGAAGGGACTGGTGTGTTGTATGGCTAGACAACGCCTTGCACATGCAGAGAAATTTACCACAGGTACTCTAGGACAGGTGTGAAACCCCTAGGGCATGCCGTTTCCTGCTCTTGCTCTGCTAATCCCTATACACAGGAAATGATCGCGACTAATACTTAATACACAAAGAAACAGAATATATTCAAGTAAACTTGGCATTGATTTTTTTTCTTGAGTATTATTGAGAATAATAAGTTTTAGTGATATACCCCCCCCCCCCCCCCCGTTTTAATTGTTTTGTGAAGTTCATCACCATGCACATTCCATCTTCTGTAATTGGAGAAATGTTTACATTAAAAACCACTGTTTACAAAAGAAGTAAATATCGAGGGAAAAAATTGTTATATTTTATTGATATCTTTTATAACGTTCACGCGCCTACTCAATGCAAACGCTCACCATCGAATATTACAGCTTTCCGGTCATTCAACAATTTCAGGGAAATGCTTGCACATTAATACAGTAAAGTGAAATTATTTAAATGAATTATATTGTTCTAAATTTGGTAAAAAAAAAAAAACATGAACAGTATATAGATATATTTTCTTCCTCATAGGAATGCTGAAAACTGTTAATCGGAACTCGCACTGACTATTGTTTAGCACGTGTATGTAACATTGCAGTTCGCATATAATTTGAAAAGAGAAGTTATTAGAACTTATATTTCCGACATTAAAGTTTGTCACGTTAAACTCTCAAATGACTCAGCTTATAAATAGTTTTCTTGATACTATTATAAAAAAGATGTCGCTTTAGTATTGATATATAACTTAACAAAATTAATAATAATAAATAAAATTTAAAAAAAACGATTAAATATATTCTGCTTTACATTTTTTTTTTGTTCATTCATTATTTTCATCTTTTTCGAAATACAAGAAAATACTTTCATAAATATACATACACTGCGGGATTTTAATTTGTTTTTTTTTTAAAGAGGGAATTTCGCAAAATTCCTGTTCGGGGAGATAACTCCCGTTTGTTTACGATACTAGTTGATCGATGATTTAACCGCGGCGGGGACAGGTAGGTGATGAATTTCCCGCGGAGGGAACGCGGTTTACCAGTCTCACCTGGCCAAATCCAGCGTTGTGTTTATACCGCGACGGGGCGCGGGGAATACGGGATCCGCGTTGCATGTACTGTACATGTATAGTCAATCAGATTAGAAATACAGCGACTATCAGAATTTCGGGTCGTAAAAAAGATCTGATTTTGATTAGATTTCAGGTGTAGGCGAATGTGTGTGTACTGAGGGGTTAGTTAATTCATTCAAGATTTATGATCTTGTTCGTTTGGACGAAGGCTTCATAAAAATATACACACTGCTTGTACAGGTACACATCAATGAATGTTCAGATTAATTCAAAAATCGGCGGACATTAATTTATTTTAGTTATCTAAAGGCAATGTTATTTCCAGAGACATTTATATTTTCTGTTTTTTTGTCTCGGATTTTTCTTTTTTGTGATTTACCGGTTTACAAAGGCCTGTGATTTAACAGCTGTTCATAAACGCTGTCAATTAATATATGATCAGAGAAAACGAGACATCTCCCGGTAATTCATTTCTTATGGAACATCTTAGTATTTACCTGTGTAATTACGATGTTACAAACCGTGACGATGACTGGCCAGAAGGACTACCCGTTATGAAAACAACTCATGATCAACTCAGCGGACCTATAATTGACTTTAATATATGCTGTAAATCAATAAAATCATTTCAGTTTAACTGATATTTTATTGCAAAGATAATGGGAAAAAAGACTTGGGATTTAGAATTTTTCTGAATTTCAAACGCTCGATATGCATATATTTGGGGCGCTCTTGCATTATGCACTTATAAAACGTGCATGTTCTGTACTTGCATGCGTGTACATTGTATGTATCCGTAAAACCTTAAGAGAGCTGATAAATGTGTTCTGATTTTCAGAAAAAATAATGGGAACCTATAAATAATTACATGTTTTTCATTTTGTTCGCATACAATAACAAGTTTAGTAGAAAAAAATAATTTGTTCAAGGTTAGGTGTCTAATAAATTTGTAATATTCAAATACAGTTACACATGTATGTCTCATTCTACATATTTTGGAGGCGCGTGTGAATGTGGGATTTTGTATTTCCATACGCTCGATATGCATATATTTGGGGCGCTTTGTATATATACAGTTGTACATTTTAAGGGCGTCGACAAAAGAACGTATATTAGATTACATACATGTACATTTAAGTTTCAAAAGTTCCATTACTAGTAGGAATTAATTAAGGTTACATATTTTGAATTTTATTATGAATAAAACAGACAATTAACTCGATATCGAGAAATAAATTGTTTATAAAAATAACTATGCAACTTTCCTGTAATTCAGCGAATAAAATATTAAATAAAATACATTAGCGATTTTATCAAAGATATTATGAAATAATCTGAAAAATTCAACATATTTATCCACTCATGACTTAGTTTACAAAATGAATTTGGAATGGCCATTCTATGATTTGTTTTTTGTATGACTAGGTCGCTGGATCACACACGCCGATCGATCCCCGGTGACCTCCTTTGCTACGCGCTATCGAGGGAGGTGTTACATAATTGCAAACACACAAGGTGAATGTAAAAGGCGCACACTTAATGGCTGTAAATAGTCTATGCTTCAAAGTTATGTTTTATTTTCTCAGTATATTGTTTGTTTTTATCTGATAAGAATAAAAGGTTATCTTTTTTCCCCTTTTTTTAGTAGACTGGTTTATTCGACTTTGAAAAAAATGAAATAAAACGAAAAGTTGTCAAAAAATAACTTGGAAATAAAGCACAAAACACTTCAAGAACCTTATTCTAAAGAATATTAGCATCTGATGTAGCCAGATTTATTATTTATAGTAAGTTTATTTTAGTTACACGCATGAAGAGCTCTCGTTTACTTGCTGAATGAAAACAGTTACCTGTAAATGGGTCAAGCTTCTGGCGCATTTAAAACACAAGACTCGAAAAAAATAACATTTTCATGAAATCAATAAGATGTTAAAGAACAACTTTTTTAACGACAGCCATTTCGAAATATTTACCGTTTTTGAGTTATAAAGCAAAAACTTTAAAGGGCTCCAGATCCCTAATTTGAGGGGCCAGCCCCATTTTAGTGGTGTCAAATGAAAGGCCTTGAAATTGTGCACAACTTTTATTCTACATGTCTTATCAAAATATTTTTAGTTTTAAAGATACAAAGGAAAATATGTCTAAATTTTCGCTCTTTTAGGCGTTCTAAATTTTGACCCCTAATTAGCGCCATTTTGAATACAGAAATCGAAAAACAAAAACCGATGTGCACAACTTCAATCCTTCTATTATCTAAATTCGGTAGAATTTCTGCTCCAGCTTTTGTAGTCTCGGAGCCTTTGTCTGGAAATGAAGCCTAATAAATTTTCATTTAAGGGGCAATAACTCAAAAGCGGAAGTGACTTTTTGAACTGTTTGACAGCATTCTGATAGAGTTTTGTAACGTCTATAAACTCTGCAAATTTGAGCAAAATCCGTTGAGAAATGAGCGAGATATGAGGTCTCAAAGTTGGCGTCTAGGAAAAAGAAGAAAAAAAAAGAATAATAATCTTAACCATCAGAATCAGTAAAAGGTCTTCCGTTGGAAACGGAAGACCTTAAATACATACTGACTGTATAGTATTTTTTGAAAAATTATTAAGTCCAAATTTAATACAAAAATAAGACAGACTAACTGTATGTAATTTTCTGTAAAATTACTAAGTTCAATTTTAATACAAAAATAATACAGATTAACTGTATGTAATTTTCTGTAAAATTGCTAAGTTCAATTTTAATACAGAAAAAATACACTTGAAAAAAACTAAGTCCACAAAAATACAAAAATGATATACTGAAAATAATCTAAGTCCCAAAAAATACAAAAATAATACCCTGTAAAAAATCAAAGTCAGATTTTAATACAAAAATATTCTACCTATTTTTTGGTGATACAAAAAAAATATATTTTTTCTGTATTAATTTTAAACAATACGAAAATGATTGTATTAAAAATATATTAAAAATATACTTTTATGTATTATTTTTTGATATGGGATGCCATCGCAGCCATAGAAAGAAATAGGACTAAAGAGGCAGTGGAAAAAGTTAAATTCCTGTCGATATTATGTGATGGATCAACTAATCAAGGCATAATTGATAATGAGATAGTATATCTGCGAATGGTCATAAAGGGAAAGGTAGAGGTTAAGTTTATTGGATGTAAGTGGGTGACAAAAGCTGATGCCAAGGGAGTTTTTCTTGCTATGAAGCGGGCTGTGGAAGGTACATTACTCAGTACTTCTATTATATTTACAGTATTAATCAAATTGCAATAGTCCAAAGACAATCAAAATTTTTAATTTTATACTAATCTTTTTTAAACAGGAGTTAGGCTTGATTGGTCACTAACACATAAGAAAATGGTGGGTCTTGGTTCTGATGGTGCCGCAGTTATGACAGGCAAAAAGACAGGTGTTGCTGCCTTGTTGAAAGAACACCATCCTTCAATCATTTCCATTCATTGTCTTGCCCACAGGTATAACTTATCTTTAATTTATACAATCTGAATCATTGCAAGATGGACATAACACAAAATCTAACAGGAAATTATGAAATAATTAATTAATTTTGGTCAATCATGATCAATGAAATGTAATTACTGCTGAGCTTTTACAGATGTATTTATTTATGTTGTTAAGATTAGAGCTGGCCTACAAAGATGCTTTGAAGGGGATCAAAGTAGCAGAAAAGGTTGTCTCTGGACTTTTACTAGGGTTGTACTACTTTTACCATAACAGTCCATTGAATCGGGCTAATTTGAAAGAGTCATATAAAACCCTTGGAATAGACATGAAGATGCCAACAAGAGTTGGCGGCACCAGATGGGTTGGCCATGTTTTACTGGCATTGAAAAACATGTTCCATGGATATGCTTCCATCAAACAACATCTTTATCAGGTGCTTACTTAATAGAATGCCTTTCTGTTTATTGCTAGAATTAAGTTTAGACAAACTTTGAATCTACCTTAATCTAAGCGTTTTTTGATAAAAACAAATAATTATTCATTTTTCAGCTTGCATTTGGGTCAGGTGTGCAAGCTATTGCCAAATGTAAAGCCCTTGGTCTCTATAAGATTCTTGTAGATGACAATAACATCACATTTGCAGCCTTTCTTCTTGACAATCTGTCTCTTCTTCACATCATGTCACAAGTATTTCAGCGGGAAGAAAGTTGCGTGGCTGATATACACAGGGCTCTCAACTCCTGTCTTTGCTCACTCAACAGATTTTCTGACATGTAAGTTTAAATTTCACTTTTTATTGCATAAAATATAGAACCATTTGATATGACTATTGTGGCTGGGTTTAAATTAATGAATACTCTTGAATTAGTGATGGAGCCTATCTGACAAAGCTAAAGTCAAGGTGATATGGGACCAGTGGTTTCAAGTGAAAACCTGGAATCATTTTCAAAAGCTAGGACTACACTGCTAGAAAATTTAAAAATAAGATTGGCACAAAGATTTGAAGATGCAAATATTGGAGTTGTTAAAGCTTCAATAATTGTTGACTTTAAATGTTGGCCAGAAAAGGACAGTAAAAATAAATGGGAAGGAACACGAGTTAAACATTTATAGTTGTGTTACTTTCAGTAATCCCTTTTTATTTTCAAATTTTTTTTTGGTGTTGTTGATAATTTATATATGTGAGATTGAGTGTAGATGAACATGATATTTGTCCTTTACGTTCAAATTAAAATTATCACCGATTTTGAACTTGAATAACCTCACGTTTTTATTGTTAAATTGGCTTTTAAACTGAGTCTGATATTTAAACGCAGAGTCTGTAAATAGATTGGTTATTGTTTTAAAAATCCAATATCTACAAAACGCGATTGATTTAAATTGTGTAATTTACAGGAAAGTCCTATCTTTATTAAAAGTAATAAAACAAATAGAAAGATCTTTTTAATTTTAGTTAGTCTGAACTTATCAAAAATAGGTCATATATGACTTTAAATTATATGCTGACTTATTAGGTTGTTATTTAAATCTAACATTTTGGGTATCTTTAGTTTTACTAATGTTGCTTAATAATTATTGAAGTTGTTTAATATATTTTTTAATTGCACTGTACCATTGATTTAAATTTAATAATCTAATAATTTAATCTAATAATTTAATTCTATGGAAAGGAATAGCAATACTATGGAATTTATACACATTTTTATAAGTAATTGTGCTGAAATCATCAAGTTGTGATTTACTTTACAACTTACTACAACTATTCATTTTTTAAATTTATTTTTACAAACAATGTTGCACTACTTATAGATTTTGGTGATGAACACGTCAGGACAGCAGTTGTTCATTTTCCCAGGACTTGGAGACAGCAGGGTTTGATGCAGATGTTGTATTTCACGAGTGGGTCTTTTTGAAATCAGACATATGGAAGGTAAAGAAATCAATTCAAAGAAAGACTCCAAATCTAAATGTATCTAAAAATGTTTATACATTCATTGAATTATTTATCTTATTGACATAGCTTCCCAGATGTACATGTGTTGTCTTGGCCTGAAGTACAGAGGCAATTCAATAGATATGAGAACATCTTTGGACTCATTGACCTTCTTCTGACTTTGCCATCCTCAAGTTCGGAGTGTGAAAGAGGTTTTAGTCAGATGAAAAAGATCAAAAAAGAAACCAGAACCAGACTTACTGAAGCATCGTTCAATGACCTTATGACAGTCCACCTTCATTCAGATGCTATTGACAAGTATGATATAATATAAAAATGTACATGTATTTTCACTTGATATGGGGATTTTAGCATATTATGTATTACTATACTCACAAGCACACTATTTGACAAACATGTTATAATAATATTAGTTACAATACATTGATCATTCTCACTGACAATTTAAAAGATGAATTAAAATAACTTTTAGGTTTGATCCAATCCCTGCAATTAACAAGTGGACTACTATGGCAATGACAAAGAGGAGACCCCAGTTTAATGACAAAAAAGGGTAATTGGTTGCATAAAATTCAGTTTAGTCACCTGTGCAATGGAAAAAGAAAAACTTCCCAGAACTTTTCAATCTACTGCAATTCAGACTTCATTGTATGATTTAAAATCAAAATGATGAATAGTACAATCAGATGTAAACTCATTACAACACTTTTTAGAAACAACAGACCCAAGCTTAAGGACAAGAAAGAGAAAGAGAAAAGAGAAGATGCGAGACAATTGAAATTATGGATATTTCCGATAATGCAGAAAATCAGAGTGAAAGTGTTGAGAGAGAGGGGACTCGGATTTTGATTGAAACTGCGGAGATAAATGTGACTCAGAGTGAAACTGTTGCAGAAGACTCTAGGGATGAGGAAGAGACTGATGAGGAAATGAATGAGAATGGGGAAATAAATGTGGATGAGGATGAGGACAGTGAGATAGATTCTGAAAATGATCTCAGTGAAGAGAGAGTCAACGAGATTCTGTTTAACTTTGAAAAAGAAATAGAGAGAGAAATGCAATAAAATAATTTCATATTTTGTTTCATTTGATATTTTATTCGGGCGACCTTAAATTCATTCGGGCAACTTGAGATCAGTACCAAGGTTGCCCGAATGGCGAGTCCAAATTCTGACGAGTGTCGAACCCTGGTGTAAATGCAAATATCACACTTGTTTTAATGTCGAAACAAAATCAGGTTATAGAACACGTGTGCTTTATGGAATGATTCATGGGTTCAGGCCCTTACCATGCACATATATAAATTCCGTAATTTAGTTTCAGTTTTTTTATTTAATGATTTCGTTTTCTTTATTTAGTAATTTCGTTTTCTTTATTTAATAGTTTCGTTTTTCTTTATTTGATAATTTCGTTTGTCTTTTATTTAATAATTTCGTTTTCTTTATTTAATAATTTCATTTTCTTTATTTAATAATTTCGTTTTTCTTTATTTAATAATTTCGTTTTCTTTATTTGATAATTTCGTTTTCTTTATTTAATAATTCCGTTTTTTATTTATTTTTGGTTTGCACTATTGGGCTTCCGTACATTTAGATATCCAACAGTAACACAATACAATGGCCTAATCAAACACCCCTTTTATTCATTGACTAGTGAGCATTAAACTGCATGGTGCTAATGTCACTTCAAACCTTTCAATTAATTGTTCTGAACAGTCATGAAATCAGATGAAGAATATTTTTAAATCCTAAGAAATTTAGAGAGGTTCAGATAGTGCTTTGAATACTTTTGAACTGAAAGCAGTAGAAAACTACAGAAATTTGATAAAAGGTTGGGAAATTATCATTACATATAAGATGATGATTTGTTGAGGAAAAGTGTTGAAATCTAATGGAGTTCCATTCGGACAATACTTCTAGTACATGTAATGCTAAAACAGATCAAAAGATTGTCGGTGTTATGCAGAATCTGCTTTAAAAATATTCTATATCATGATCTGCAATAACAATGGTGAGAAAAAATTGAAGGGCTGTCAATTTATTAAATCATTTTGGGAAGTACGATGGAGAAGTATGAGAACAGATATGAACCTCGAAAAATCTGAGAGGATTTGCTGATAATAATATTCAGCAACAGGAAGTGATGTGGTTTAAGGTTCAATGTGAAAATGTATTTATATGCGTGTCAAAAAGTGACTTAAGGACATACGCAACGTACCTTACCTACTGATACTTTTTTGAGATATTCTCAATTTAAGATTATAGTGCTATCAGATGTTCGTAGACAAAAAATCAGCATGCATTACCAGGGGTTTTGAAAAGATATCAATTGATGAAAATTCTTGTATAATTCAAAGAAAAATATACAAAAATTACTAAACATATATTCTAGATGTTTTGTTTATCCAAACTTGTTTTAGAAGAAGTGTACAATAACATATATAGACAGTAAAATTTAGCACACAGTTCCTTTAAGTATTGGAACTCTTCAACTCCAAGGAAAAAGACAATAAAGTTCAAACTAAGTTGCATATGTCCTTAATGCTTTCAAAATTTAAGACCGGAAAAATTCTGTTAAAATACCATTGGATAAGTATTGGATATTTTATGGACGTCAAGAGTCTAATAGTGTGCAAAAATCGGAGGAAATGTAATTTTTGTGAGCATTGGAAGCACATTTTCAACGATTCTAAAAAAAATTGTGAAAAATTCCGTGTGCTTTGGACATAAATTTTAATATTGTGACAAATTCAGATCGATTATTTTTATGTGCATTGGAGATACATTTTAAAGTTTTTTATCTCTTTTGTTCATTGCTTAATTATGTTTGTATGCACAGTTGGATATTAAAATATCCAACCGATAGGCAGTTGGATATTTGAATATCCAACTGATGGCCAGTTGGATCTTTAAATATCCAACTAGTGATGGTTGAATCGGTAAAATATACCTAGATTAATAACAATGGGTGACGTCATTGAAGTTTTTTAAATGTCCATATCAATTTTTTTTTTTAGCAAAATACAAATACTTCATTTACTATTAATTTCAGTGACAATACATAGTTTCAAATTTCCGGCTACATGCATGTTCAAATTTAATCATACATGCAACTTAAACAAAGTTTCCCAGAAGTATTCTTCAATATTTTTTCTCTGAAAACTTTCTTCTACAAATTATCATATAGAGGTATGTCGTTATGTGCATTTCTAAAATATTAGTGTTAGATTCCGTGATAAATGATGTGATGAATCTCTACAGCAATAAAATTATCATCTTTTTTTGCGTATGACTTTGTGTCAATTTTTTACCCCGATGAACCTGAAGTTTAAGTGTTACTGACATGCATGCACGCGGGTATGTTAAGGCTACACCCAGAGATATACTACTTGCCTCTACAATATGACGTCATAGAAAGCTGTATGACGTGAAGTTTAGAAATAATGATTTCTTAATATCTATACTTAAAGTTTAATTTCAGGTCCAAGAAATGAATGGAATCATTCAAAAACATAATATAAACAAAAAAATGTCGTTTTGGGTGGTATAAACAGCTAAGTATTTATCACGGGGGTTAAATACCAAACCATGACGTCATATCTATTGATCAAATATTTGCCGAGTGAAAATTAAACGTGACGAGAATTCATGTAAACAAATATGTAAAATGGGAGTTTTCAAGCATATACCATGAATGTTATGTGTGATTCATAAGGAAATAAAGATTAAGAATCAGGTACGCTGATATATTCTAATCATGTTTTCTTATAATGAACACAGGCAGTGTTTTAAAACACCGATCAGCCTTTCCTCTGTCGTTCTATACCAACAAAGTTGCAGAAGTTCAACACTACGCCGCATACTTTGAGACATAATTTTTGTTTGTATCGAAAGCTTGTATTCTATAGTACTTGGAAAGTGCTGCTAGAATCATGTGATTAACATGAATTGATGACAATTCCTTGATCGTTTGTACAAAATGTAATAATTTTGGTAAGGTTTCATGCGAAACTTTGGAAAAAAAATTTCTGTGTCGGAAGAGTAGGATTCTAGCAGCACTTTTCATGACCCAGTGATGTTTTTATATAATTATTTTCAAAAAGAATTGAATTATCCCCAGGGTAGTGTTGAACTTTTTACGTTTTCATTAAGGCATTTTTCTATTTATAGACGTCACGTGATGACGTCGTAGTGGAGTGCTTCTTTTAGCCTAAAACTCAATGACGTCTATACAATGGATAATTATAGTAAATGTTTTATCTATGGCTTTTCCGATTTATCAATGTTACATTTTACGAAAAAAGTCTAAATTCGCCGAAATATGGGTACTGCCTTAACATACCTGCACACTTACCAAGATAAACACCGATACTTTTTTTCAAATACATGATATATCAATATGTATAGACATGCAAGGAGAGAAATAGGACAAATTTCCCTTTCATAAGACGCTTTTCCTCCCTATTTTGCTCCATGAATAATTGATGTTTGAATGAAATTGTGTCAAGAGCCAAACCTGCAGCTTAAAAATGCATCCAATTAAAGTTACATGCTGAATTTTTCTTCTCTACCTGTCAATTTAAAAATAATGCAGCATTTTACTGGCTGTGGCAAATTACGAAATTCTTTATCATGTTTCCTACCAAGCTTACACGGTATTTATACCCGTACATGTGACTCACTGACAGTATTTGAAGTCATACCCTTTCCATAAAATCTTCTGGGTGATTCAATCATGCTTCATTTGTAATCACCATGCTTCAGATTTCAGATTCCATTAATTGTGTGTGAATTGTGTCAACGTAAGTGGTGTTTGAAGATTGTTTTGCATCTCATAGCAACATACATTATGGTATTTGACAATCATTATTTAGATAATGCGCCTATGTACTATAGTCCCTGAAACGTTCTACGTTCCCATTTTCCGTTCGCTCAGCGTTCGTTCAGCGTGCGTTCACCGTTCGTTCATCGTGTTCACCGTTCGCTCTCCGTTCATAGTTTTGGTTCACTGTTCACTGTGCGCTCGTGTTCACCGTTTACAAAGCGTTCACCGTTCGCTCTCCGTTCGTTCACCTTGCCTTCAGCGTTCACTCATCGTTCAATCTTCATTGTCATTCGGAACTCCAAAGTGAAAGGACTTATCTTTTTGAAGGGAAAAAGAACGTGAAAGTAAGGGTTTACTGTTTTAAAGTATCATTATTTCCTGGGGAAAAAATGATCTCCAACATTTATTATTATTTTCTAACTTAACTGTTGATTATTTATTAAATTAATCCCCCACTTTTTCCCACACATAACTTTTCACTATTGAAAATGTGAAAATATACATTGTAAAGCTGTTCCCCAACTTTTTTTTTTGGCATCATAGTGAAATAAAGTAATGTAAAGATGTATGAGAACAATTTGGAAAAAAAATTAGTACTGAAACAAATTTGCCTCCCCCCCCCCCCCCCCCCCCACATACACACACGAAATAAGATATTCGAGTTTGGGAATTAGGAAAAGTCCCCCCAATCCCTTTTTTGGGGCTTGTCAGTTCAGGTAAGTTTTTCGTCCCCTCCCCTTCACACTATCAAAAACGATGCTACGACACTGGTATAATAATTGGTCAGAAACGTACCATAACTGACATTTTTCATTAAGTCAGTGTTAGTCATAGAATTTGAGAGACATACTTGTATAAGTTTTTATAGATCTATATCACCAAAATTGTGACGCCGGTTAGAAATAACAATCTTGAGCTTAATATATTGTTTCATGGTTTTCATGGTCCTACATAGCTATGGCATTAACTCTGAGTCTTTAAAAATTATGTAAATATCTAAACTAAATTTATCTTTTAAAAAAAATTACGTATTTAATGGTACAATAATATGATTGTGATTGAAGGCTGACAAGGTAATTTCCATATAGGTACAACCTTTTTAAGTATATATGTATAAAAAGTAAACAACAAACCAGGTGGTTCTAGGGGTGCGACCTCCATATTTAGATTAAAAATAGATTATTTACTGCCATTGCAGTCACATGCACTGGGGTCTTTAATTATTTTAAAACTGAAATATTTAACCAATTAACACGAAATATCTATGTTACAATCATTTAAGCTATAAGAATAATTTAATTGATCAATATACATAAACATTTTTATAATCCCACAATTAGGCATACTTAAAACAAAAAAAAAAAAAACAAAACAAAACAAAAAAAAAAAAAAAAAAAAAAAAAAAAAAAAAAAAAAAGATAAGCTTCTTAAAAAATTAAAAACTGTCAATGTCATTGACAGTTTTTAATTTTTTAAGAAGCTTATCTTTTTTTTTGTTTTAAGTATGCCTAATTGTTGGATTGTAAAAATGTTTATATAGCACAATAGTAAATTGATCAGGCTGATCTGAATACTAAAAAGAAAAAAGAAAGAATGTCAAAATTATGTTGACTTTTTTCCTGGACGTTGTAAATTTCTAATACAAACACTGACAAATTGGTCACACTGAAATTGCGTCTTCACTTCCCGCCATTTTTTTTTCACTTGGTACTCCAAGTAAACTGAGGAGTATACTCGCGTAACACGGGTTGGCCGCTCGAGTCGAAGATGTCCTATTTTATTTACAGCTCTTGTAACTTGTGTAATTCGTGTCGCTTAATCGAATACACCCTAGATCTTTGCCTCGGACGTGACGAGACTTTTACAGCAGCACAGTGTCAAATGATTTTGATTGACTGGACAAGCACGTGGACTTCGTGTGAACTTAAAGCAGGGGAAAAAAACGATTATGACCGCCAAACAAATTGATTTGTTAATAAAGATTTTTTTTTCACTGCCTGATATATTTTAAAATAAAATAAAACTTAGGAATTTTTGCTTGATACAGGTACATGCAATTGGGGAGGGGGTTAAGACGGAATCTCTCTCTATCTCTCTCTCTGTATAATTTGTCTGTTTATATATAAGTATGGCAGCATATTACTAAAATATCAATTACTGATTTTCAAATCTATAACAAATAATATGAATGCCTTTTTGTATCCTCTTGTCCACATGTCATGACTGGGAGGGGGTGTCTAAAGTAGAAGTCTGCTAAACAATCGTTCGTTCGTTCATCGTTCGTTCACCGTTCGCTCTGCGTTCGCACATCGTTCAAGCGGGAAAGTAGAACGTTTCAGGGATTGTATTTAATCTATAGTAAATACAATAACATTATGTAACTTTGCTTTTAACATTCAGTATTGAAGTACTCTGAAAAAAAAAATTATTTCACAATAATTGATGACTTTAAAACCAAACAAAAAAGTAAATGAAAGAGAAAGAAATATCCCCCAAAATAGATATTCAAGTAAATGTTTGTGCTTAATAAATACAAAAGTGCTTTGGCAATAGGACAAATGCAAATTCGAGTGCACTTGCACGCAATGTTTGTTTTATATGCCTTGAGTCATACAACATTCATGCAGTTCATTTAAAACTGAATGGCATAGAGTCATAATGTGTGAATTTAACAATTAAAGATTTATTAAACAAAATATTATTCAATTTTACACAATTAAAATTCACTCTGACACATTTGTGTTAAATAAATAATGCTGCTTTTTTTTAATCACCCTGTTTTATATTCGGCCAAGACAAGGGCAAAACAAGCGAAAATAAAACGGGGCGAAAATTTTCTCTGTATGCAGTAATAAAATGAACATATCAGAATTGCTTCTGCAAATGAGCATCTCTTAAAATCGGAATTTTAAATGCTTGCTCTAAAGGCTTTGCCAGAAAATTTCTAGAATAACCTAGCAAAAGACACGTAATAAAAAATATGCATTTTAATTTCTTTTTTTGAAGTTTTTTGAAGAATTCTCTATTTAGATACCTTTCACTAGTATTTATATGATATTGCCATGCATGTCCAGATTGTTTTGTACTTTGTTAGTTAGATTCAATTTTACAAGTTTTCTTATTAACAATGAAAAAAATAAGAATCATTTCATTTCTTGCATTTACAAACAATATTGTACGGAATGAATATGATAAGTACGTTTCCACATAATTTTCCTTGTGAAACCCTAGGCACACATTGCATAAATTGTTAAAGAAAATTATATGAGAATAATGTTCATTTTCAGTTAATTTTATGTAAAAAAAAATGATAAAGTAGAAAAAAAATTATGCATCATCACCAAAGATGTTTAGAAATGCTAATCAAAAAATCATCAAAGAAGGGTATTTGAGGAAAAATGTTAATTTAATTTAAACATATCTAATATTGTAGAGAGCAATTAATAATGGGCAAAGATTCTTTGGATAAAGAAACGCTAAAGAATGACAGTGAATGTCCTAAGATGGGCGGGGCTATGGACTGTCCAGTACAAACTCTCAACAGTGAAAACCAAACTGATGAATTTATACCCATTGACGGGGGTTGGGGTTGGGTTGTATGCTTCACATCACTCCTGGCCAACGGAACAGTTTCCGGCATCATTAACACTTTTGGAATAATATACGTATATCTAATCAAGGAGTATGCTAGGGATGATCCATCCATTTCCTTCAAAATATGTATGTATAGCAAATGAAGATCAGTCGCTCATAAGAAATTTATATTAAAATACCATTTCCTTGTAGATTTGACTATATTCTCTGGAAGGGAATGGAGATACAAATGAAAGGGAACAATTAGATAGGTGTACATGTAATTGTATTCCTAAATAGTTTTTTTTTTTTTTTTTTTTTTTTTTTTTTAAATTTTTTTTTATCCCAGTAATCAGATTGTATCGAATTGAATTGAATTGAACATATTTTATTGACAAAGTCAAAAGGATCGGACACAAGTTCAGAAAATTAGATAGTCTTCTTCTAATACAACATTTTGTAAAAATTGCCAAAATAAAAAAACATATATACATATGGTCTACTACATAAACGTCGTAGTTTTAGAAAGAAAAAAAAAGTTTTAAGTGTACAAGTATATAACTTGAATTGGTAAGAAGAAAAATTTTAAAAAAAAGGTAAGCTTATTTTGAAAAACGACCACATTCATTTAAGAAAGTTTGAATGGTTTTGAAAAGTTCATAATTTTGTTCAATAGTAAGAGAATCATCGCCCCATAACATTAAATGTACATCTATAACATATAAATAATTAAATGATAAAAGCTTATTCATTAAGGAATTCCTTGCTTTTACATAATATTTACAAGCAAAAAAACAAATGATATGCATCTTCTAGTAGTCCACAAGAACAATTAGGACTGGTTATTAGGTTACTGCGATATAAGTCAGAATTTAAAATACAATTATGTCTTAATCTTGTATGAATTATGTTCAAAAACCTTTTTCCATATGAAAAATATTTCTGAGGTTTTGCAATACTGTTGTGCAGATAGTTTTTAAAAATTTTGATAGAAGTTGCCTCCCTTGTTTTAAGACTAAGGGAATTCCACTTTCTAACTGTATCAGGAATAAATGATTTATTATATAGTTCTAATCTGTATTTTGGCAAAGAATGATTTAAGGAATTCCTGGTAGTGTATCCTGAAATATTGCCTGTTGTATCAGGTACTACATTTTGTAAATAATTAGGTACTAAATTATTGTGCATTTTATACATTGTTATTAGTTTTGCTCTGTTTCTTCTGGTTCCCAACCTGTTTCCAAATATAATGAATTTCTTGAAGCAATAATTGTAGGCCCAGTAACTATTCTTGCAGCAAATAATTGTACTTTTTCAAGATTCTCAATGTCTGTTTTCGTGCATCCAGACCAAACTTCAACAGCATATTCAAGTTGTGGTCTAATCAAAGATATATACATCTGGGATAGAATATCTCTTGACACAGTAAATTTTAGTTTTTTAAGAAGCCCCAGTTTTTTGTATGCTTTCCTTATAATGATATCAATATGATCAGAACATCCTAAGTTAGACGACAGAAGTATCCCAAGATGTTTGTGTTCTGTAACATATTCCAATTGGCAATTGTCAAAATATAATTTAGGAAACTGCTGCATATTTTTTGAATTAAAAAATACAGCTTTGGTTTTCTGTGGGTTAAATTTCAATAACCATTTCTTTGACCATTCATCTAGTATTCTAAGATCATGGTTAAGATTTTGTTCAATATGATTAATATTATCTGAGCATTGTTGTAAGGAATTATCATCAGCATATAATCTACAAACAGATATCATATTTTCAGCCACATCATTTACATACAATAAAAATAACAAAGGACCAAGTACTGAGCCCTGAGGAACTCCAGCTTTTACATGTCCTACAGAGGAAAAGTGATTTCTATACATGACTTGTTGTGTTCTATTGCTTAAATAACTATCAAACCAATCTAGCATATCACCATTGATTCCATACATTTTTAGTTTGTAAATTAAGCCTTTATGCCAGACTCTATCAAATGCCTTGGATAAATCACAAAACACCATACAACAGAATTTACCTTTATCAATACTTTTTACTATAGAGTGGTATGTTTCTAAACGTTGATATACTGTGGAATGACCTGGTAAAAAACCTGCTTGATATTTATAAAATATATTATGTGAATACAAGAAATTGTATACATGTTTAAAGATGATTCTTTCAAAAATTTTGCTTATACAACTCAGCAAAGAAACTGGTCTGTAATTTGTAGTGATGGAAGGGTCATCTTTCTTAAATAGTGGAAGAACATGTGCTAGGTTCCAGCAGTCTGGAAAAGTTTTTAGTGTTAGGGATTTGTTGAATAGTATACACAAAGGTTTTGAGATAGTGTCTTTGCAAGATTTTAACATTTTATGGCTGATGCAATCAGGACCAACTGCTTTACTAACAGGAATAATAGAAATTATATCAATAATTTCCTGTTCTTGTATTTTTATATCCGGAAAATTATCCTTACATCTAGACACTATATTTGGGAGCTCCTGGTTACTGTTATCTACGACTGTAATTGGTGTGAAATATTTGTTCAATAGTTCAATTTTATCTATGTCTGAAAATGCAAAACTTTCAGTGCCATTGTTGGCTGTAAACTGAATAGGTGGAATTTCATTTGTTGGTTTAATGTGAAAAGTGTCTTTCAGTAACTTCCAGTATAGTTTTTGATTGTTTAGACTAGCATCCTTGAGATGAGAATCTATATTGTCATAATAGTTTTTGATAGCATATTTTTTCATGTTATTAAACTTATTCCTTGCCTTCCGAAAAATTTCCAAATCGGATTCTCTTTTTGTTTTTTGTGCTATTTTTCTTAGCCTATTGCGAATAAGCAAAGTTTTCTTTAGAAGAGAATCCATCCATGGTTTATCATTTGGCCTTATGGTTACAGTTTTTTCGGGTACGCATTGGTGAATAATAGAAATAAACTTTTCCGTGAAGTTTGCTGTTGCAGTATTAATGTTTTCTGTAGCATCAGTAAGGCTATTCCAGTCGCATTGTAGGATTAAATCATTAAGGAGTTTTAAATCTGCTTGCTTATATTTCTAAATTTTACGTTTATATGCCGCATTAACATTGGTATTCTAGTGAATATATATATAAGGTGCTTTATGATCACTAACTGTATTACTAACTTTTAATGTTCCAGAATCATGCACATGTATATTGTCACTAATAATGATAGGATCTATAAGGGTTTCTGTATTGCAAGTAATTCTTGTAGGTTCATGTATGATATTTGTTAATCTACAGCTGTTCATTATTGTATGAATCTCATGTGAGTTGTTAACTTTTAAGAAATCAGTGTTAAGGTCACCAAGTACTACAATATTGCTGTAGATATCACAGGCTTTTTCAAAGGACCAAGATAGTTCTTGCCAAAAGACACTATTAGTGTGTGGTGGACGATAAATACAGCATATAAGTAGATTCCCCTTTACTTGTGGTATTTCTATCCAAATGAGTTCAGTATTAATGGGTTCTAAATCTTCTCTTCGACTAGCCTTAATTAAATTTGAAACATAAATCATTTATTTACACCTCCACCATAAGAATTGCGATCTTTTCTAAAAATATTCTTAAAACCTTCTATGAAAAAACTTTCATTTGTAACATGTGTGTCTAAATGAGTCTCACTAAAACATAGTATATCAAAATCTTGAACTAAATACATTAGGGAATCAATCTTATTTCTGATGCTTCTAATATTAAGGTGCAGGATATCAAGAGAGTTTGAAGCAGGTGGGCCTGGGTTTGTTTCAATATCACCAGATAGCAATAGAATGACAAACATGAATAATTGTGCAAAAAAATTAATTTTGAGAGACCAAGATGCCATATTTTTATATTGTTTTTTGAAGATACTGGATATGAATAGCAAAATATCTAAAAGTGTAGTAGATTTTGAAACTTTGAAAGCAGACCTTGACGGTATATTATGACATTTAATGTAAAAAAAACCAATCGCGGCACGGTGTTGTTCGAGGGAATTACCCATTATCAAAACTGTGGCTAAGCAATGTCCAAAGTTTGATTTGCAACTGGGCCGCCTTGAAATGGGATATATTGACACTGTAATTATTTGGCAATATATGAGATGTGTCAATTCAAAATAAATAGAAAATAATAAAACACAAAACAGTAAACATAAAATTTGAAAAAAGAAGTGCATTAACTCGCACATTTCCCACGTAGAAACTGGGAGATGCATTATGAGAATAACATGAAAAGCGGGTAATAGAGTACCGCTGTACATAACTGAATTGTAGTATTTACATGCATGTGTTGGGATGTAAATAATAAGGGGAAAGAACGATATAACATCCAACTATATACACATGCAGACCAATTTGAAGACAGCGTGACAAACATAATAGTATAAGAATAAATTTGAACATACTGTACATATGTTTGGGACATCCTTTATGTTGATCTGTCAATCACATGTTTATAAATGAAAGCGAAAGTAGGTAAACACTGATTCGACGAGGTTCCAAGCGTCTGAGAGACGCGAACACGTGGAAATGTTTATTAGTCAGCCCGCGTGCTGACTAGTTACGGTGGGATGAAACTGCAAGTGCGCTTGCGTAATTTGGAATTCTGGGAAAAATATTTACACGACTTTTTTAAAGAAACCTGTAGTATCTGGTCCAATCAAAAGGCCTGCTTCTTCACGCACGCTCTCTGAATTAAGAACACAACCTCGAGCTATTTATAGACAACATTGTTCTTCGTTTGTTCTCGAAAAATTAAAGACATGGATTGTTCTAAGTGGGAAATTTGTACTGTTTTATACGATACTTTGAAAATATTTCAGTGGTTCTTATAGAAGAAGTTAAGTTTATATGTAGAGCACTTGATATATATACCCTCAATCGCCGTCCTCTGGATGCCTGAAGCAAGACTCCCTCGATCAATATCTTGCATAAGACATGTAAGGGTCGGAATTCGCACAATAATCCACTTGCCACAAAGGTCCCAGAACAGTGCAAAATGAATCTCTTTTCAATTAAATGATGAAAGTTATGAAAACATTAGAAGACCACTGTAAGACAGTAAAATCTTATGATTTACATGATAAGTTGCTGTCCTGTAAAAAAAGGACTGCAATACGTGAACCATAAGTCTGT